TGGGGACCTCCATTTATTCGTCCCTTTCCGAGAAGACTAGAATATCTAAACCATTTCTTGATGTTATAGAAAGGCAGCATATTCTTCTCAACTATTTTAAGACCTTGAGTGTTGGTCCGGCCGGGGCTCGAACCCTCGATCTCCCGAACATCAGTCCAGCGCTCTATCGATTGAGCTAACCGGGAGGCGGTTTTAAAACATATGCGCGATGACTTGCAAGGCAGTGGTTCCTACTTCAAGAATACCGTGCGGTAGATGCACACATTGACCAAATAAGCAGCACAATAGTTTACTTAAAAGTCTCTTGAGGTAAATTAAAAGGTCGCATATCACCTTAAAAGCATCGGAAGTAACAGCTTCATCTACAACAATATTAATGTAGATATACTTATATTGTTTCATTGTTTGAGTTTGTTGAGTTTAAAAGAAAGCGCTCTGGAACAAGCAAGAAAGAAAATCACGTTATCGGAAAAATTTGCCTCGATCACTTTGTAGAGCGCGGACACAGGAGTGACTCAAAATCTGCAAGTTATGCAAAAAATAAAAGTGCCTTGTAATCGGCATTTATAAATACCTACTTACTATTCAATTGCATGACCACACTCCAAGATTGCAATTAAATGACACGGCTCTTTTTCCAGACGAGCCAAATAGACAGCAAGCCATGTTCGTGTACTTTGTAAGGTATTTTTTAATTTTTTTTATAGGAAGAATTCCTCAACGAATAGTCCGCTGTAAAAAAGGGTTGACCTTGTCTTGAATATTTCCTTGACAAACAGTTTAAAGAGTAAGTTTTGATATTGCACCCAACATTCCGATACATATCGTAAAACATGAAGTCGTTCAGTCTCAAAAAGCGACATAAACATATTTTATTTAATGTGTAAGAGTGTAAGAAGTCTAGCTTTTAGCTAAAAAAAACTTAAAAAAAACTTTAAATTATTTGGTTGTCAAGAATAGATTGTTCAGTACCGAGTCTGTTAGCGTTCAATAAAGATAATTAGAACTGAAGCGCTGTTAGAGTTCCGTATTGAATAGATTCCAACGGAATGTTCTCAGCCAAGAATGAAAAAAATTTGATTTATTTCAATGTTTCCCATTATCCTTTCTCAGTTCTTGAAATTTGATGGATGTGGTTCTGCGTTTTGAAAATTCCATGATGTTTTTCACCAAACAATATTAATGCTTGTCACGATACCTTCTTCGATTACGTCAAGTTCTGATGAATCAAGGGTAAAACGGAAACACGAAAAGAAAAATGCGTTTACAATAGAAGCTGTCGCCAATATCGGAATTGAAATATCTAATAAATCATGAAAATGTCATTGAAAACAAAGAGCTTTCCTTTTCTTGATTAATACAATGTGACGTAGGAAGCCTAACCCTTAGTCTTCATCCACCACAATTACTGGATTAGAGAAAAAGTTCAGTGTAAAATAGTTGATGTAAGTAAATTGCAGATAAGAATTTATTCATAAGTGGGCTTCGAATTTAAGCAAAGGACCTCCTTGTGTGACCTGCGTTGGCGGGTTGAATTGAAACACCCACGAATGGTTATATGTGTAACCTGCGACACCTACTGGAGACAAAAGTCTTCGGAGAGCTACTAATATTCTAGCCGGGTCAACTCCTTCTATTCGGGTGTCCTTTAGTTTGCGGAACACGCGTAAATAAAGAGTCCGCTAAAACAATCGTAAGTCAATATTCCACTTAAGCATTTAACTTGTTTTTTTTTTTTGTTTTTTTTTTTTTGTTTACCAAGCGCTAAAGCTCTACAATATATTGGACCTTGTGCAAAAATTTACTTACCTCTATAATCCTTATGCCTAGGTTTTGGTCGATAGCATGGAGTATTCACGTCAAATCTATGAGGTTTAAGATGTAAATAGGCCAGCCACGTTTGGTTTATGGCTCACGATCCGTACTCGTGTTATGAGACCTTTTAAAAATTTGGTGATGATGACAAAGACCATGAATCCCATTGAAAGTTATCGGTTCATTTTTTACCTTCAACTATCACGTTGAATTTTTATACCTTCAGATCCCAGACAACCTTCAGATCCCAGACAACCTTCAGATCCCAGACAACCTTCAGATCCTAGACAACCTTCAGATCCCAGACAACCTTCAGATCCTAGATAACCCGCTCTCCGGTTAGCTGGTTAGAGCCCTGGACTGTGTTCAGCGGGAGGTCGAGGGTTTGAGCGGCGCTTGAGGAGAATTTGCTACCTTTCTATAATATCAAGAAATGGATAGATATTCTAGTCTTCTCGGATAAGGACGAATAAACCGTAGGCCCCGTCTCCTGCAGGGTTAGGGGTAAGAGACGTTAATTTCCCACGCACGAGATTACTGTGTGGTGGATGTCCTCCCCTGGGGTGGGATGGGTGGGTGTTATAGAGGGCCACAAGGCTATTAGTTACCGTCAACTATTCCGTGCCACCCTCTCTAAATAAAGTGTATCTATCTACAAGTTAAGAGCTAGGGTTAGTGTAATCGTGGAGTTCAGGAAGTTTCTTGAAACGAACTGCGTTAAATAAAACATTAGGGACTTTAAGCAAACCACGACGGCTACGGCAACGAGAACGTGGAAAAACAATAGATCTAATTGACAGAACAATAGCCCAACACGTGCGTTTTAAAACTTTGTACATTTCTT